TTATGTGTGATGCTTCAGATTATGCTTTAGGGGCTGTTTTGAGACAACAGAAAGACAAGAAGCCACACGTCATCTACTACACATCCCGAACCTTGAATGATGCTCAATTGAATTATTCCACCACTGAAAAAGAACTTCTTCCTGTTGTGTTTGCTTTAGATAAGTTTCGTTCTTATTTACTCGGTACTGAAGTTATAATTTACTCTGACCATGCAGCTTTGAAGTACTTACTCACAAAGAAAGAAGCCAAACCAAGGCTTATTCGCTGGATGCTTCTTCTTCAGGAGTTTGACGTGGAAATTAGGGACAAAATAGGATGTGAAAATGTAGTGGCTAACCACTTGAACCGTTTGGTACATGAAGAAGACCTTCTACCTATTCCAGAGGCATTCCCAAATGTACAATTGCTGACCATTGAGGTAAGTGAGCCATGGTATGCTGATATTGTGAATTATATTGTGTCTAAACAAGTTCCAAGCACCATAACTAGGCACCAATGCGATAAACTTAAAAAAAAATGGCACGGTTTTATGTGTGGGATGACCCTTATTTGTGGAAATATTGCCCTGATCAAATTATTCGTAGATGTGTGCACGATTCTGAGTTTAATTCAATCTTAACCTTCTGTCACACATATGCATGTGCGGGTCACTTTGGTACACAACGCACAGCACTTAAGGTTTTAGAATGTGGATTTTATTGGCCTACTATCTTTAAGGATGCTAGAACTTTTTGTATGACTTGTGATCGTTGTCAAAGAACGGGCAGTATAGGTGCAAAAGATCAAATGCCACAAACCCTTATCTTTTCTGTTGAGATTTTTGATGTTTGGGGTATTGATTTCATGGGCCCTTTTCCTTCTTCACATGGTTTTAATTATATCTTACTTGCTGTGGATTATGTTTCGAAATGGGTGGAAGCAAAAGCCACTCGTACCAATGATCCAAAGTGGTTGCAGATTTTATTAAAACTAACATATTTGCAAGATTTGGAATGCCACAAGTACTTATAAGTGATGGGGGCTCTCACTTTTGTAATCGGACCATAGAGGCACTACTTAAGAAGTATAATGTCACGCATAAGGTTTCAACACCTTATCATCCCCAACCAAGTGGACAAGCTGAAATTTCCAACCGGGAAATCAAGCAGATCTTGGAAAAGACAGTTGGACCAACTGGAAAGGATTGGAGCTTGCGGTTGAATGATGCATTGTGGGCATATCGTACTGCCTACAAAACACCAATTAGAATGTCTCCTTTTCGGCTCATTTATGGGAAACCATGCCATCTTCCAGTTGAGTTGGAGCATCGTGCACATTGGGCAGTCAAGACTTTCAACATGAACATTGATGCCGCTGGACTTCATAGGAAATTGCAATTGAATGAGCTTGAGGAAATTTGGACTGAAGCTTATGAGAATGCTCATATTTACAAGGAGAAAACAAAGGCTGCCCATGACAAGATGATTTGTAGTAAAATGTTTTCTGTGGCGCAGAAAGTGTTACTTTTCAACTCTCGCCTTCGTTTGTTTCCGGGTAAGTTGCATTCTAAATGGATTGGTCCTTTTGTTGTTACTAATGTTTTTCCCTATGGTGCAGTCTAAATTCAAAGTTTTAAGACGGGACATGAATTCAAAGTGAATGGACACCGTTTGAAGCCATACTATGAGTCTTTTGAGGAGCATGTAGTGGAGGATGTACCCCTCCATGCCGTTGGCCCTAGTGAAGCTTAAAGGGAGGTACCATCCGGCTGGAAGACGTTAAATCAAGCACTTCTTGGGAGGCAACCCATGTGTTCAAATAGAAAGACAACGGAATCTCCGGGCTCTACAACCAGATTTTCTCTCTTTTACTCTTCTCTTTATTATTTTTATTTTGCTATGATTGTCTTGTTTGCTAGTTGTCTCTTATTACTTTCTTGTTTAAAGTTTTCTTTTGAAACATTGAGGACAATGTTTAGTTTAAGTGTGGGGGGGTAAACAGAGTGCTTTTCGTGATTTATTTTCAAAATTCACCACCTATCACTACTAATGTTGTTATTCACT